AACGGATGTGCGAACTCAAGTGCAAGAAAAAGAGAAGGTGAAAGATAATCTCTTGTAATTCTCTAAATGTGTCCTCGAGAAGGTTTCACCTCCTTGACCTGAACATAATTGTGCAGGTTAATATTTCATATACATCACAGCGCACTAAGACTGTTTGATATTCTCTATATCACAAGCTAAACTTACCCAGTATCGTTCGTACCAGTGCTGAGTGCTGGATTTGATGAATATAGCATCGAATCTCCAAACTCTTAAGCAAAAGCTACGATATGCTTGGTAAGTAGTGTAAGCTATGTTCATTATTTGCAACATACTCCGACCCTTAATTTTTACAGAACATCTTGAGAAAAAATTTAAATCAGTTTTCTAGCTCTTTCTAACCCTAATGCTAATTCGAAACTTCGCTAGTGCTGCCTTTCTTGAAATGGTGACCATAAATACGACATAAAGATGTTGAACAGTTCGTGCAAATTTTTCAGATCCATGGAATTTCCATGAAACAGTTATCCAAATTACGATTTTTATCCTGATTTGAAACTCTGGCTTCAATACGTTAAATATTATTTGCGTGATGTACAATTCTACGCCCAATTACCACCTAATTTTATTGAACATATGATATCTTAAAGAAGCATAATTCCCCTTTTATCCTCTTCATTCTTTTTCTTTGTCTTGAGTTTACACATCCGTCCCTTAACCATGCACAGCAATCTGCGGGCAGACAATGGGCAGTCAGAGCCTAGCGCCTGGAAGGTGTGAGGTTCCCCCAGGACGCCTAATCACTTGCTCCAGGGAAAAGCGGCGAGGCTTTGGGAACTCGTGCGCGCCCTCCAATCGACAATGTTCGTGGAAATATAATCATTTGACAAATTACCGCAATATCGGGGTAAAGTAAATGAAATGTTGCCTTATATGCGTTACAAAAACTAAAAAGAAAATTTTCTTGAAAAATAGTCTACTAATTAGCTACTGAGCATTTTTACTCCTAATATCATAGCATCTCCAATCTTGTGTAAACGAATTTCTGGTCAGTTG